CTGACAACAGAAAAACCAAGGATGGGATCAAAGGGTCATTGGTATTTTTTCATTTTAACCAAGTCCCATGTGGCAGATAAAAATCAGGAGGAATATCTCAGCTACAGAGGTGCCCTCTGAAGAGTGAATGATCTCAGTTCTACACCAGGCCCCCAAGCCCAGGGTTCCAGTGCCAGGAAGAGAAGTCCCCATAACTACTGGCCATGAAAACCAGCAGGGAATGTGACTGAGAGAGACGGAGGGCTTCTGGAGTCCCAGGCAGTTCCTCTTAATGGATCTGGGCATAAACTTAATTGAACTCACTCCCTCAAGTTCCAGCACTGGGGCAGCAGCTTAAAAGGCACTAGGGACATACAGGGAGGAACTAAAATGTCTGACATCAGAGTGAGAGCTGGAGGGATAGCTTTCTTCCAGACAGGAGTGTTGGCAGAGGCCATTGTTCCTTTGATGATTCCTCCCCCTACAGAGCCAGCGAGTGCCACATCTAAGTTTCTATCAACCTAGCCCACACTGTTTGCTTCCCTGAGACCCTGCCCCACCAACCTGTTGGCCCATCCAAGCTGTTTCCAGTGGCTTTTCCATGCAAATGGCCTATCTTGATTTGTGCTTCCGACTTCCCTAAAGTCTCTCAAACAAGCAGCATTTGGCTTCAGCATGCCCCACACATCTTGCTAAGTGGCCCCAGGCCCAGCACTAGTGGCAGCTTGGTTCTCAGCTTGGTCTTTCCTGGGCATATCCAAGCCCAGGACAAGTAGCAGCCATCTGTGTAACTCATTCTGAGTGGTCTCGGTAGAACACAGGCAGTGGCTGACCTTGGCCTGTACCTCCTGGGGACCCCAGAGCCAGCACACCTGGTGGACAGCTTCACTCTACATCAAAGCACCACCCAACCACCTCCACAAGCAACACACTCAAGGGATGGGATTCAGTAGGCACCGGAGCCCTGCTGAAATAAGTGCTGCTCCATTGGGCGGACCCCTGAATAGCAGATCATTCACAGTGGTTGTAGCCATTCCTTGTAACAAATAGGGCTGGGGGTAAATTCCTCTCATTGACATGCCAACAGAAATTAAGACTCAACTACAACAGGAGGGTGTATACAGTCTACAGAGGTATTGCATCTGGAGTGTCCAGCTTGGATGAACAAGGAGACTGTGCCACTAGATTCTACAGGACATCTACTATGTTAGGCCACTCTACCAAACCCGGGAGATATAGCAGCTCTACCTAATAAATAGAAACACACACAGGGAGATTGCCAAAATGAAAAGATAAATAAATATGTCCCAAATGAAAGAACAGAACAAAATTCCAGAAAAAGAACTAAATAAAATGAAGATAAGCAATCTACTAGATACAGAGTTCAAAACACTGGTTGAAACACTAAGGATGCTCAATGAACTTAGGGGAAGAGTAGATGAACTTAGAGAAAACTTCAACAGCATAAAAAAAGGACATGAAAGCCATAAAAAGAGAACCAGCCAAAAATGAAGGATACACTAAGTGAAATGAATAATTTGCAGGGATTCAACATAGAGTAGATAAAGCCAAGAATAAAAAACAGCCATTTGAAAAATAGGGAAGCAAAAACACCTAATCAGAACAGTAAAAAGACAAAAAAGAATCCAAAAACAATGAGGATAGTGTAAAGAGCCTCTCAGATAACTTCAAGCATATTCATACTCTCATCATGGGGGTACCAGAAGGAGAAGAGAAAGTGCAAGAAAATGAAAACCTATAGGAATAAAATAATAAAACTTCCCTAACCTGGTGAATGAAATACACATACAAGTTCAGGAAGCAGAAAAAGTCCCAAACAAGATGAACCCAAAGAGGCCCACACCAAGACATAATAATTAAAATGCAAGTTTAAAGACAAGGAGAGAATCTTAAAAGCAGCAAGAAAAAAGCAGTTATTTATCTACAAGGGAGCTCCCATAAGACTGTCACCTGATTTCCTAACAGAAACTATGCAAGCCTGAAGAGATGGGCAAGAAATATTCAAAGTAAGGAAAAGTAAGGACCTACAACCAAGATTATTCTACCCAGCAAAACTAACATTTAGAATCAAAGGACACATAAAGAGCTTTCCAGACAAAAAAAAGGAGTTCATCACCATCAAACCAGTATTACATGAAACATCAAAGGGTCTTCTTTAAGAAGAAAAAAAGATAAAAATATGAATAATAAAATGGCAATAAATACATATCTATAAACAATTAAATCTGAAAACAAACAAACAAGTAGAACCAAAACAGACTTGTAGATACAGAGAACATTTTGATGGCTGCTGGAGGGCATGGGGGTTGTGGGGTTGGATAAGAAAGGTGAAAGGATTAAGAAGTACAAATTGATAGAAACAGACTTGTCATGGGATGTAAAGTACAGTATAGGAAATAGAGCCCATAATATTTAATTCAGTATATATGGTGTCCCTTGGGTACAAGATTTATTGGGATGATTACATAGTAGGTTATAAAATGTCTAATCATTGGGATATACACCTGAAACTAATATTGTATGTCAACTATAACTGAAAAATAAAAATGATTTAAAATAAATAATATTATTTTTCCAAATTATCTATTTTCTCAACTTCCATACTTCTTTGTAATTTTCAACCTGTAATATGCTAATATAGTACATTAAGTCAATGTATTTCTTTATACATATAAATTAACATCTGTTCTACTTATTTATCTATTAATCCTTTTGCTAGTATTTCCCTGTTTTAATTATTAATGTTTTATAAAAATTGCAAGGCCTTGCTCTCATTTCTATTCTAAGTTTTCTTACCATCTTGCCAGACTTTTCTGTCTGTGGAATTCAAAGTTTAGGAAAATTACATTTGGCAAATCCCTGATAATATTTGTTTAGTTTGGCACATATGGTTTTATGTATACAACTATGTATAATAATATTTATATATTACAATACATAAAATTATAACATGCCATATATAATAAAGAGTTCATTCATTTAGGGAAATGGGAATTACCAGTATATTTAGCTTCATATTTTCTCTCCCCCTACCTCCTTCCACTGAGCCTGTTCAATTTATATAAATTGAATGTACCTATAAGGCAGTTTTACCCTATTGCATGGTTGAGAGAAGCTTCCTGATTCTTGGGTTGTTTTCTTATTAGCCCTCTGACTTAGGAAGAAAACAATGTGAAAAATATCATTTTTAAACTATACCTTCTGTCAAGCTATGAGTTTGCCCTTTGCAAAGAACAAACTATATGTAAGACTTAGATTTTTTTCTTACTTTGATTTGATAGGTCTTACTGAATGTTTACCTAAGAATCTGAAAAACTTTTAAGCCTGAATTTTAGTGTTTTCATATCTTTGTGTGGGTATGCCTTAATCATTAAACAGAGAGAAATTGGGAGATGCTACATCTGAGGCTGCAATATCACTAGAAATATCTAAAATATTATTGAATAAATATTTGTTTGAAGAATTGGGTTCCTTGAGTTTGTGAAAGGATTAACTTTGACATCTAGATTTGCTTAATAGAATTGTTTATAGGGATGGCTGTGATTGTATGCATTAATTATTATCCATGGGAGTGGGGAGGGGTCTTCATTTTTACTTTCATGTCACTCTTTCATGCCAAATGCATTTGTTTCTCTTTCTGGTGCTAAAGGCCCAATATGACTAGCTAATTTTACTTCCCCGTTTAGCAAGAAGACAACATTTTCATCCCTCCTCACATATAATTTAATAAATCCCTCTGTGGGAAGTGATGGGCCTTTGTTCGAAATGGGGACAAAATTGGGTCTTGAAGTTCTGCTAGGAATGGACTTCTCAGTCTTTCAGTGAAGAGATTATGATCATAGCCCAGGACTTGAAGCAAAGAAAAAAAGAATCCTGTTTGACAAGTACTCTCTAGTTAACTGAGAACTGTGCTAGAGGAAATCATTGCAATATGGTCTTTGTCCCGAAGTGCTTCCAGTCTAGTCTGGTAGATAAACATATAACCAAAAAGCTACACTGTGGTGTGAAGAGTTGTGTAGTAAAGGGATGAACATGACCCCATGATGCCGGCAGGAGATGATTAAGTCTGCCTGGTGAGCAGTCAGAGAACAAACAAACAAAAACCCAGTTCGCCCCTGCAGGAAATTGACAGGGCAAAACTACTGTGAGTAAAAAAAAAAAAAAAAAAAAAAGATAACCATCAGCAGCAACAGATGTAGCATTTATGTAGTTGTAAATGCTACATAAACTAGTTTCTGGAAATCTGCATTGAAAAGCTGAATTTCTGAAGGATGACACTGAATGCATTTGAAGGAAGGCAAATGCATTTCCAGGTGATGAGATCAGTTTATCAAATTTGTATAGGCATGAAAATGCTTGCTCTGGCAGAGGAGAAATAAATTGTCCACTATGACCTGTCTTGGCGTGCATATCTGGAGCATTGGACGTTAAAGACTAGGAATGGCCTCCTAAGCCATGCTGTTGGTTTTGAAATGTGTCCTATGGGTGACTCAAAGGGTATGGTGCAGAAGAATGATATGGTCATATTTATGTTTTAGAAAGAAAACTGTCAACAGAATAGGTAGCTGAGGCCAAGAAAACAGTTGGGAATAGTTTGTTCCTGCCAGCTAGACATGGAGCTTGCCTTCCATCGCTCTTTGCTTCTGGAAGAGGGTTAAGGCAAAAAAGGAAATAAAAAGGAAGAAGAAAAGGAAGATAAGCCTGATAAAATTTAAGACCAGATATATGTATGGTTGCGTCGCCCCGACATTTACACCAAGAACCACCTGCTGTCTGATACTCTTAGCAAAAGTTATAAGGAAATCAGCCGTAAAGAATCGATAACTCCATTAGACAGAAAACATAGCTTTCCAAATTAAGGGAATTTTATCCCAGATATGCATTTGAATACTACAGGGAAAAATAAAGAATTAAGCCGCATAGGAAAGCAAAAGTGTACCCTATGTTATAATCATTGGCCAATGCTTTCTAATTGTTCTTTTTCATATCTTTAAATACAGAATCCCCTTCACCTACAGCTGAGTTTAGAAAATTCATTAAGTTCTGATGCTGATGTCACTGTCTCAATCCTGACCATGAACAACTGGTACAATTTTAGCTTGTTGCTGTGCCAGGAAGACTGGAACATCACCGACTTCCTCCTCCTTACCCAGAATAATTCCAAATTTCTCCTTGGGTCTGTCATCAACATCACGGCCAACCTCTCCTCCACCGAGGACCTGTTAAGCTTCCTGCAGGTCCAGCTTGAGAGCATTAAGAACAGCACGCCCACAATGGTGATGTTTGGCTGCGACATGGAGAGTATCCGGCGGATTTTTGAAATTACCACCCAGTTTGGGGTAATGCCCCCTGAGCTTCGTTGGGTGCTGGGGGATTCACAGAACGTCGAGGAGCTGAGGACAGAAGGTCTTCCCTTAGGGCTCATTGCTCATGGGAAAACAACGCAGTCAGTCTTTGAGTACTATGTGCAAGATGCCATGGAACTGGTCGCAAGAGCTGTAGCCACAGCCACCATGATCCAGCCAGAACTTGCCCTCATTCCCAGCACAATGAACTGCATGGATGTGGAAACTACAAATCTCACTTCAGGACAGTATCTGTCAAGGTAGGATGCGAGACCTGGGTTACATCCCCATTCACAGGGCTGGGACAGGATGTAAAATTTCCCTATCTGCCTTGCAAAAATCTTGATTCTCAGTAACTTTAAACTCTAATATTTCTGAGAGGTTTTCGGATGACATAAGGCTAGTGTTTCATGGTCTGTCATCTGGAATTTGATCTATAGACTTTTAGCACATGGTATATAGTGGGACACACTCTGCATACCTGCTTTTAAACCCTAGCTTAGTCCCTTACTAGCTGTATGTTCTTGGAGGGTTATTTAATAACTCTGAGCCTCAGTTTTCTAATTAGTAGACTGAGATAATATTGAATAGCTTGATATTATAATAAAGATACCATGAAATTATATATGAAAAGCACCTAACATTGTGGCTTGGCTCGTAGTAAGTACACAACAAATGTTTCTATCCTGCCTGCAACTTTCTCATATCAACAGACTTCGGCAAATCTCTCTAAATTTCAGAGAGAAAAAATTAGCCAAGCAGAAAATAGACTTTCTCTCTCCTCCCAGGCATTGATGTTTGACAGTATAGAGTCGTGGTTAAAGGCATAGACACTGGAGCCAGACTCTGAACTTGAATTTTGGCTCTGCCACTTACTATTTACATGACTTGGTCAAGCTACCTAACTTCTCTAAGCCCTAGTTTGCTCTGTTATATATTCGTTTATGTAATCAATAGATTCTACTATCCATGGAGACATTGTGATAGATACATCGGTAGATAAGTAGATAAATGCATGCATACATACCTAGATACGTGCATAGAGAGCTAGAACAAACTCAGAGTTCCTACAAGAGTATTTTATATATATATATATTTGATTTTTTAAAATTTAGGTATTTTTCCTCTCCACTTCCTCAATCTGGCTCAGAAGCTAAAATGAAAAAGCCCACTTAAATTAAAGAGTAACATATTTTATAGAAATGTTTTTCATGATCCCCCAAAAGGAGAATATCCTTAAAGGATATTTTACAGTGGCCTAATTTTTCTTCTGAAAAGGATCACCTATGGTCAGAGAGGCCAAATCAGAAAACCATTGCTCTTTCAGAGGCGATCACTTGGCTCTAGACTAGGCCCCATTTTTAGTCAATTCTCTTGGAACAGGGACATCTGATGATATTGAGAAACTCAAAGCAAAATCATAGTATCTTACCTTTTAGAAAGACATGATTATTTGATGGAAGGTACGGAGATGCTAAGCATTTTACATGTAATTTTACATATGTGGGTTGAGCACCTATTATATGCAAGACAACATGCTAAATGCCATGTGTGGCAGAGTTTAAGCAGAGCTTATATGCATACTCACTAAAGAAGGTAGTTAATAAAATAAACAACTTGAAATTTATTTATTAGAAAACTTTTAATGATAAAATGAGATGTTCTACCATAATCCAATCTTTCCATTTTTTTCCATATCACATTTGAATTTCCACACAATGGAATTCTATGAATATTTTCATTTTATAGCTTCTGTCCAGATTTAATATACTGTTTTGAACTAGCACATAATTGAGGCTCAGGATTTTATTTAGGATAAGAAACATTTTCCTTCATAACAAAAATATAAGCAAAGTTTTTATTTATAATTCAGAATAGTCATTATTTTGAAAGGAGAACTATAAACAGCAGGCAGGAAAAACCACTTTGTGAAAAATACATTAAATATTTAGCATCTTTCTGTCTCACATAAAATGGAGAGCCCAGGAAAAATAATGCTGTTTGGATCCTAAAAATGTTTAAAAACTACAGGGAGAAATATTTGTTGACATATGTTATATATACCTTTGGGGTTCATGTTCTCAAGATCAAGCTCATCTTTCTGGCTCCTCAAGATTTAATTTATGTTAAAGTTGTGTGCCTCCTTCCACAAGGATCCCATGGCACTTTGTACATGAAATTATGTACAAACCATCATTATTTGTCTGTGTCTGACTTCTGAGCCAAAATACAAATTTTATTAAGTAGAAATATTATTATTCAGTCCAGTTTAATACCTAGTATGTAGTGACCACTTAATACATATTTATTGAATTTGATATAGAAAAAAGGAAAGGAAATTTTCTATTATATTGGGTTGGCCAAGAAGTTCATTTGTGTTTTTTTCCATAAGATAGTTCTAGTAGCACTTAGCTGTCTTTAACTTCATTCAAAACAATTTTGTTAAATTACATTGTGACAGCTGTCATATCAACATGCATTTATAAAATTATCAACATGCATTTACAAAATTATCAAAATTATCAGTATTTTTGTGTAGCCATTTTAATATTGAAGATGGAAGAAAATACACAACCTTTTCAGCATATTAGGCTGTATATTTCAAGAAAGGTAAAAACGCAACTGGAACGCAAATAAAAAATTTGTGCAGTGTACGGAGAAGGTGCTATAACTGATCGAATGTGTCAAAAGTGGTTTGCAAAGTTTCATGCGGGAGATTTCTCACTGGACAATGCTCTAAAGTGAGGTAGACCAGTTGAAGTTGATAGCGATCAAATTGACACATTAATTGAGAATAATCAACATTATACTACACAGGAGGTAGCCGAAATACTCAAAATATCCAAATCAATAAAGCTATGGTGAAAATGAAAAACGTGTCTTTCATTTTACAGAAAAAACTAAATGGACTTTTTGGCCAACCCAATATTTACATCCTACATCAAATGTAGCTGTAGAAGAAAAACAACTGGTTGACAGACAAATAAAAATTTATTTAAATTAAAAATATAGTTGTTTTTTAACTTATCTAGATACCATCTAGTTGTCATTGTCGTCGTCGTCGTCTTCTTCTTCTTTTTCTTCTTCTTCTTCTTCTTCATCTTCTTCTTTTTAATGAAATGTTAAGTTAGTGAATAACCTTGGTGCTTGTGGCTATTTCCACATGTTTATTCCACAAACTATAAAAACTACAAAAGAAGATTGTGAGACGTGGAGCCCAGCAGCAATTCACAATGTATAAGGGTCAGTGACAATATTTTCATCTCCATGGATGTGTTTGAGAATGAACTCAAAGAATTTCAAAAAAATGTCCAGACCTTCTTAAACTCCCTGGTAATGCAGTCAAGGAGAAAGTTTCAAAGTGTTCAGGAAAGGCTCAAGGGAAGTGGAAGAACCCTGGGCAAAGTCTTTATAACGAATAACTGAAAAGCTGCCTTAAGGTATAAGACATCTGTGAATTTTTTCATCATTATTTATTTTGTTGAATACAGTCTTTTATAAATTTTGTTATTCTCAGTCCATGAGTCACATCTGCATATACTAATTTTCTTAATTGTTCCTGAATTTTGTGAAGCTGACCCTGCTTCCTCACTGCATAATGCAAGTCTTGAGGATAATGAGCCATGAATAGTGAGTGTCAAAGTTATGCAAGCTTTCATTTCTCACACAGTCATTTTCAGTTTGGGCTGACAGAATTGTTAACATTTTTAAATGTTAATGAAATCACCAAAAGCAGCTTTTCCAGCCTAGCCTTTTAGACTAGAAAAATCATTTCTCATGGCAGACTACACAGACGTAATTACAGGTATCAAGGATTTTATTCTTCCTGGGTCTCCACATGCCAGAGCAAACATCAACACAACTAAATAGAGACAAAACCACTTGGCGGGCATGGGGGGCGTCAAATTCATAGCTCAACCTTTAACAATTTATTTGCATGTTGCTTGATTAAATATGAACTATGTGAAGCAATGAAATCTAATCAGTTATTTGATAATGACCCCATAAATACCTATGCGTGGATGTTTTTGTGCAGCTGGTGACTATTTGTTGAACTAGGTGAGGCAGACAGACTGAGGATTTGCATACTGCCATTTTGGAGTTGAGAGCCTAGTGAATGAGGTTGCAAAGTAAGTGGTTATAAAACACAGGGATATGTGATTCTTAAAATAGAGTTATATTCAGATACACAGAGGAGGAAATAATGAACTCTCCTTTGAGATTTGGTGATAAGAGAGAAACATTGGAACTGGATCTTGATAAATAAATAGGAGTTTTCTGGTTTGGAGCTAATTCACAGGCAATGCAAATTCACTAAGACCTTAGGGAGAATTTGAGTACAGTTGGAGTATACACTGCATATGAAGAGGATTTGACGTGATTCTGGAAAAGTAGTTAATTTGATAGCATGCCACACGGGGCTTTTATGCCGAGCTAAGGAGTTTGCATTTTATATACACATTGAATATCACTGGAATGGCAGAACATTAGCCATGACATATTATAAAATCATAATCCTGTAACAAATTAATTGAATACAATAATACAGCATAAAAGCCTTGCAAGTAATTTTTTAAAACTATTAGAATTTAAATGTTTTTATTTCAAAAATTGATTTTAACCTTGCCTGTATTTACTCCTTTATTGCATTCTAAACACCAGACTCTGGTGAAAATGAATAGGAGTTTGGGGACTTACCTGCTGATTCTAGGGTTAGGATTTGCCCATGTTTATCTATCTGAAGGCCTTGGGTGCTAATGAATCTGTTATTCCTGGAGAAAGATCTCCCTGGGGCCTGTTCAAAGGCAATTTATCCTCTAAGACGTCTGAGAGTCTCCACACTGATATGCCCTTTGTTTCCTTTGGCCTAAGAAGTCACTGATCCTTTGGCTAATTCATCATAGTCCTGATAGTTATTCTAGCTTCTAAGTAGGATATGGAATCTTGCCTTTCTTCTTTGAACAGCTTCTGCAGTTCAGTCCTGTATCCAGTAGGCAGTGATTAATTCATTTATTTATTCACAAACATTTGTTGAAGCTGCAGATATTAGGCTAGGCCCCAGCTCATGCTGGTGACATAAAGAATAGAAGACAGAGGCTCTGCTCTCAGGAAGCTTACAACCCTCTTTTTCTATCCTCCAACCAGGAGAGGATATGCTCCTCTTATTACCTATATTTTTTATCTATTTTCTTTGACCTAGCTGTTTGGTTATGATTCTCATTGGGACAACACCCATTCTACTAGTGATTACCCTTCTCCA